TACAGCCTTGGCAACACCAAGGGACAGTTCTACTATGTTCTCTATGGTTAATTTGAGTCAAATTGGCATGAGGGCAGTGGTTGGATCCTCAAAGCTCAGTACCTCCCTCTGCAGAAAACCAATGTTATTGATGCCTTTGATGAAAAGAGATATTTGATTGCTATAAGTAAATACTAATAAATATGTGAAGCTCTCTATGCATCTGAGAGCTGGACAACGGAAAAGGATGAAAGACGAAGAACTGATGCCTTTGAGTTGTAATGTTGAAGAAAAGTACTGGCTATCCCCTGGACTATCAAAGGAACAAATATATCTTGGGCAAAGTGCAGACAGAATGCTCTTTGGAGGCAAAGATGGCTAAGTTTCAGCTTACACTCCAGGCATATTGCTAAGAGAGGCTATTCCTTGGAAAGGAACGTCATGCTTGGAAAGATGGAGGGTCCGTGATGGAGAGGAAGACCCTTTAAGAGGTAGGTTGAGTCTGACTACAGCAATGGGCTCGAGTGTGTCAGAGATGATGAGGACAGGACCAAATTCAGGTCTCTTGTTCACAAGGTCTCTATGAGTTGTACTTCACCCAATGACACCTAACAATAACAACTGTGTCTAAGACAGTGACAATCATTTCTATGTGGTTTTGGGTTATGCACAGCCTACAGAAGAACACCGGCCCGAGTCTTGGTCTGGTCCACCTGTTCCCATCACGTCTTTTCATCTGTCGACCTTTCCCCCCATCCTTTAATGTCAGCTTCGAGGCATGCCTTCTCCACAGAAATTTGTCTCCCATAATTACCTGCAGCACTTAACATCCTTCTCTGACCATCCACTCTACTTAACGCTCTTGGCACTTTGCTCACTGGCTTCCAATCAAATTGTCTTTGCAACTGTCTGCCCGGTAGTGCTGCAGCTCCCTCAGAAACAGAAGCCACATATTAAATACCTTCACATAGACGGTAAATACTTGTGTATATCGTCAGTGTTCAATATATGCTTGTTGGTAGAAGTTATGGTACAAGATAATGGTGATGACATATTGATTAGTCACATTTTTGTTTAAAGAACTACTCAAATAATAAACACTGAACGGATTCCAAACATTGTATTGTGAATTTCCTTAAATCATTTTTCTATTCAAATAAGGAACAATGGCATGTTGTTTTGTTCTGGAAGCGGTCTGAAAACAGTCCTAAAATAGATCCTCTCTGTCCTCCATTCACAGCTGACGCTCTACTCCGGAAGGTTTGAAGAGTTCCAGAGCACACTGACTAAAAGCAATGAGGTGTTTGCCACTTTCAAACAGGAAATGGACAAAGTAAGGATTGCTTAGAACCCACGAAACACTGGTATTTTCCATTTTGACAGGCAATTCTCCTTTGGGTTCATTAGTCTCTGAGATATTTCAGTGCATTTCATGGAGAAGGAAGTTGTGGGTGAGGTTTGGGCTGTGCTATTTTCTTTTTATTCAGAAGTATCTGGCAAATTAATCTTAGCAAGAGTCCATAAAAACCAGGATATAGTTTAACTCTGAGAAAGAACATGTTCTTTGTCTAATCCGTGGATAGCTTACCAAACAAAGTACTAGCAATTTATCATTACATTCTAAGTACTGAATGAAAAAAAAAAAAAGAGAGAGAGAAAGAACTAATCTTCTAAAGACAAAAAGGACAGTTATAATACAAGAGTAGACTAGACTGTTGGAATAGAAAATATTTTATGAGATTCATCTTGGAAGAGAAAATATGTGTGGTTACTGTTGTTTGATGACACTGAGTCAGCGCAAAATCACAGCAGAGCCAATCTTTATCTGACGCTATATCCTCTTCACCAAAATGCCAGAGTTAAGCCCACTGTTGTCGTTGCTGTCTCTATCTCATTGAGGGTCTTCCTCTTTTTTACCAACTCTCTCCTTACCCAAGCATGATGTCTTTCTCCAGGGACTGATGCTGCCAATTGCCCTAGTGGTAAGAATCTTTATGTTCTTGATGTTGAGCTTCAATCCATATTGAAGGCTGCCGTCCATGACCCTCTGTCCCAAATGCCTCAGGTTCTCCTCAGTTTTCGGCAAGCAAGTTGTGTAATCTGCGTGACGCAGGTTGTTGATGAGTCTGCCTCTAGTCATGATGCCACACTCCACCTCATAGGCCCAGCCGATTGGCATAGTTTTGACTGCTGCTCTTGAGCTTCTTCAGTGATGCCTTCCACAGATCTAGTCAAACTGATTCCTATACAGCCCATCAGTAAAGGTTTGTGTATAAAGTCGTCATTTGTGTCTTTTAAAAAAGATATTTGTAATGAATAAATAATTGGAAATATAAAATTATATCATTCTATTTACAGCCTCATTTCTATCACCACTCTCATATTTTCTAACTACTATTCCTTCTTCATTGTTTCCAACTCAAAAGAAGAGGGAAGGAATACACAAGTTAACTGTGTCAAAAAAAAACTGACTGAAACTGAAAAAATTTAGCAAGTACCATATGAGCAGGAGTCAATGAAGGAAGTAGAAACTGCTTTGAAGGCACTGGAAAAAAAACTAAGGCCTTAGGAATCAATGGGATACCAACTGACTTGCTTCAGTTAACAGGTACTCACCAGTTTATGCTAGGACATTTGGAGGACAGCTGTCTGGCCAGTGGATTGGAAGGAATCTATGTATTTCCCATTCACAAGAAAAATGATTCAACAGAATGTAGGAGCTATTGAACAATTTCATTAATATCACATGCAAACAAATTTTAGAATAGATTTAGAAGAGCCATGGCACCAGGAATATCATTGCTGATGTCAGATGCATCCAGGCTGAAAGGAAATAATACCAGAACAACATCTATTTATGGTTTATTGACTATGCAATGGCTTTTGACTGTGCAAAACATAAAAAGTTATTGCTAACAATGAGAAGAATGGGAATCCCAGATCACTCAATTGTGCTCGTGTGAAACTTATACCTAGACCATGAATGAGGCTGCTGTGCAAATAGATCAGTACATGGTTTAAAATTAAAAAGGGTTGTATTCTCTCTCCATACCTAGGCAGCATACCGATGCTGTGCTAATTGTTAGTGAAGTTGGTAAATGGATCAAGAACATGGTATTAGGATCAGAAGGAGACTTATCAATAATCTGTGTTATACAGATGACACAACCTTGCTTGCTGCAAGTGAGGAGGACTTGAAACACTTGTTGCAGAAGATCAAATAAAGCATTCAGTTGCAATTATTTGCATCTCAATGTGAAGAAAGCAAAGATTCTTACCACTGAACCTATTGACAACATCATGATAGATGGAGAAAAGATTAAAATTTTCAACAACTTCATCTTTCTTGGATTGATAATTAACACCCTTAGTACGTGCACTCAGGAAATCAGGAGATGTATTGCACTTGGGAGAGTTTGTAGTTAGGGACCTCTCCAAATTATTGACTAGGAATTATGTCGGTATCTTAGATGAAAACAGAGAGTACCAGAGGAATGTTTATCTGTGTTTCATTGTCTCTGTAAAGGCATTTGACTGTGTGGATTAAAACAAACTGTGGCTGACTTTGGGAAAAATGGGAATTCATGAACACTTGATTGTGCTTATGCAAAACTTTTACTTGGACAAAGAGATAGTCATCAAAACAGAGCAAGGAAACACTGTATAGTTCAAAATTAGGAAAGGTGTAAGCCAGGGATGCATCCTACTTCCATACCTTTTCAGTCTATTGTGGAACATATGCTCATTTGGGAGAGTGGGCTCTATGAGGAGGAACGTGGCATCAGAATTTGAAGAAGACTCATCAACAACCTGTGTTGTGCAGATGGCGCACCCTTGCTTGATGAAACTGAGGAGGACCTGAGGCATTTGCTGCACAGGGTCAATATGGATTGAAGCTCAACAGCAAGAATACAAAGATGATCACAAATGGGCCAACTGGCAGCATCATGATAGATAGCATAGAGATTGAGATTGTTAACACCTTCAGCTTCTTGGCTCCACAATCAAGACTTCTGGCACTAGCACCCAGAGAATCAAAAGATGAATTGCATTGGGAAAATCTGCTGTCAGGGACCTTTCAAGAGCATTTAAGAGCAACAGTGTCAGTCTGGAGTCCAAGGTGCACCTGATACAAGCCATGGTCTTCACAATTACTTGCTAGGCATCAGAGAGCTGGACAATGACTAAGGATGATCAAAGAATAACTGATGCCTTTGAGTTGTGGTGCTGGAAAATAGTATTGAATATACCATGCACTGCTAGGAGAACAAACAAGTCAGTCCTAGAGAGAGTGAAACCAAGCTGCACCTTGGAAGCAAGGATTTCAAAGTTTTGTCTGACATACTTTGGGCATGTTGCGAGGAGGGATCAGTCCTTGGACAAGGGAACTGGGCTGGGAAGGTAAAGGTATAAGAGAGAAAGACCCTGGATGAGATGGATTGACTCAGTGAGTGGCATAATGGGAGTAAGTGTGTCAGAGATAATGAAATTGGCTCAAGATAGAGCAGGGCTCAGAGCTGTTGCACATAGAGCCACTATGAGTCACAGGTGACCTGATAGAACATAACAAAAACAACAACAACAACAACAACAACAACGATGATGTCAATTTGAGGACTAAGGTGTATCTGATTCAGGCTACAGTCTTTCCGATCACTTGCAATGTATCGAGAGCTGGACGGTGAATAAGGATGACAAAAGAATTGATGCCTTTGAGCTGTGGTGTTAGCGAAGAGTAATGATCATCCCATGGACAGTCAAAAGAACAAACAAATAAGTCTTGGAGAAGGTGCAGCCAGATTAATATTTGGAGGCAAAGATGATGAGGTTTCCCCTCACAACTTTAGGCATGGATGCTGTTAGAAAGGTCTCTTCTTTGGAGAGTGACATAATGTTTACTTGGAAAGGTAGAGGGCAGGTGAAGGAGAGAAAGACCCTTTACCATGTAGATTGACACAGTGACTGCCACAATGGGCTCTTGTGTGTTAGGAAGTGTGCGAATGTTACAGGACAGGACCGGGTTCAGATCTGTTGTTCATAGGGTTGCAATGGGTTATATTCAACTCAATGGCACCTAACAATACCACTATGAACTATGAGGTCCCTAAGAAAATGGTTGACAAAGTAGCTATAACAATTGAGTTGAGCACAACAGAGATTTTGAGGACAATGTGAGCTCAAGCTGGATGTCTACATCATGTACATAGAGTTACTCTGGGCCAGAATCAACTGGATTAACATGCCAGCCCCTAACAACAACAACAACAACAACAACAACAAAATTATTATTATTCACAGCAGTTAAATGTTGTTTCTACACAGTGCTTTCCCAATTAAAAATCAGCATCAGAACTGTATTTTCAAACAGACTTTCGGATTAACCATTTTTAAATATAGAAAGTGTTCCTTTCAGAAATAATTTTGTAAATTCATATAATGAACTACACGGTTTAAAGTATAAATAAATTTCTTTAAAAAGACAAGACTTGTTGAACATTACCATTTTCCCAGCCAAAAATGCACATGTCCATTACCTTTGTAGTATTTCTTTTCAAATTACAGGGTTTGCAGATTAACATAAATATTAGAGAAGAGTTCTTTATCTGGAGTCTAACTGTGAACCTTGCTTACTGGTAGACCTGAGAATACCCGGAAAATTAATCAATAAGTCTCTATAAATACACATTTTTGCCTTTCTTTGAAGTGAAGCATTTGATACAATCAAATTCTTAAAGGTGTTGATGATCTTAAAAAGGTTGGTAAACAACTAACTGGGTAAAGACATGACTAAAATTTAAAAAAAACTACTTGAGGCTCACTCAATTTCCCCATACAGTCTGGCGGCTCTACCCCTGCTCTCCTGGGGCACCCAGACTACGACAACGAGGCACTGAGCAGTGGCTGCCCTAGCAGCAAGCAGACTCTCCAGGGAATATGTATTCATCGCATGCCTTGAACTGCACCACATCCCAGCCAATGAACCCGAGGCTCAGGGCTGGAAACATGCTGCTGCTGTTTACCTGAAATGTGGTGGCCAAGAGAACGTCTTCAGTGTACTGTTTAAATTTGGGTTCTCCATGCTGCTAGGAAAGACTAGCAAAACGGGAGTCCAGTCCTTTCTATGCAAGCATGGAAATGGTTTAATAGGAAGAATACTTGGCCAAGTAAAACAATTCTGCAAAGGAAGACATGGTACAAAGCAATGCTAAGCCATGCCTCACTCTACAGAACTGTTTGGGCTTATCAAGATTTAGGTCAGATGGTGTATCATGTTCATTCATAAGAGAAGGTGGGAGATTCCAGATCTGGCCCATAAGGGAGAAGTTAAGTTAATTAAGTGTGCACACACTGAGGCTTCAGGATGGGTGCTATTAAAGAGCTTTTGGGTCAAGAGATATC